AACAATTTTTTGTCAACTAGTACAAAACAAAAGATCGCTATGGAATTTGTGGAACGTACAATGCAGAAAAATAAAGACATCGTCGGTGTTCTTTTCATCATGACAATTGATCCAAATACAATATCGGCGGCAACTACTCCATTTGCACTTATCGACGAATACAGTGCTATTGAAACTGAAAAAGAAATCCTACTTTCAATGCATACTGTTTTTCGTGTCGATGATATCAAACAATCAGTTAGCAATAGTCGTCTGTGGGAAGTTCAACTGAGTCTCACCGGCGACAATGATCCACAATTAGCTACTCTTACTAAAACCATACAAAAGGACCTCTGTGGATCCACCGGATGGCATCGAATGGGAGATTTGATGATCAAAGTGGGCCACTACAATCAAGCTGAAGAACTCTACAATGGATTACTGAAGAACGCTTCCAGTGACAGTGATAGAGCATTTATCTACCACCAGCTTGGATTCTTAAAAGACAGTAAAGGACAATACCAAGAAGCAGTCTCATTTTACGAAAAAGCACTTAAAATAAGAGAAAAAGCTCTGTCTCTGAATCATCCCTCATTGGCTATTTCCTACAACAACATCGGTCAAGTGTATAACAACATGGGTGACTACTCAAAAGCACTTGAATTTTACGAAAAAGATCTTGAAATCACGAAAAAAGCTCTGCCTCCGAATCATCCCTCATTGGCTACTTCCTACAACAACATCGGTGGAGTGTATAACAACATGGGTGACTACTCGAAAGCACTTGAATTTTACGAAAAAGCACATAAAATCTACGAAAAAGCTCTGCCTCCAAATCATCCCGATTTGGCTACTTCCTACAACAACATCGGTGGAGTGTATGATGACATGGGTGACTACTTGAAAGCACTTGAATTTTACGAAAAATCACATCAAATCTACGAAAAAGCTCTGCCTCCGAATCATCCCTCATTGGCTCCTTCCTACAGCAACATCGGTCAAGTGTATTACCACATGGGTGACTACTCGAAAGCACTTGAATTTTACGAAAAAGCACATAAAATAAAAGAAAAAGCTCTACCTCCAAATCATCCCTCATTGGCTACTTCCTACAACAATATCGGTTTGGCGTATTCCAGCAAAGGAGACTACTCAAAAGCACTTTCATTCTTAGAAAAGGCACTTTCTATCTTCCAAAAATCACTTCCACCTAACCATCCTAATATTAAAACAGTCAAAAATTCAATTGACAATGTTAAAAAGAAAATGTAACTGTAATTTTTTTTTTCGCTTGCTCAATAAATTTATTCACATTGCTAATCATTCCGATTTTTCTCGGCTCATTTTGGCTTACGCGCGCGCGCGACAAGGGAGAGATCCCTTGTCAATGCCATAGGTACCACAGGCGGACCACGCCGGACTGGTAGGGCAATGGCCGAAGGTATGCCGTATTAACACGGTAGGGACCAACGACTCATAGAGACCTTCCCTAGTACTACACTGCTTCGCTATGGCACGAAAGTTCCTGTTCCTATTGAATCAGAAAACGTAGTTCTCTGATCCACACTAATAACATTCATAACTCAACTCAACTCATCTCAAAAGTACTCATACTCATACTCATAATAACTGACAATATTTATTTTTTCTCGAAATAAATTATCTCAACTCAACTCAACTCAACATGTAAAAAAAAATTTTTTTCCTACTTCTCAATGTTGTATTGTATCGTAGCTCATCTAAAAAGAAAAGTATTGTTAAATATAAAGACAAATAATTTACCTTATTTAAAATATAATGATATCATTATCATTGTAAGTAATATAATAATAATAATAAATAATGTACCCGGGTATATAATTACATTGTAATGTATCATATTGAGAAAACGCGAATGTACTGTTTTATGATGATACGTCCATGTTTTTATATACACAATGGTTCCTTGTTTAATATTCAACGGTTTTGATTGATTTTTCATCAATCACATCACACACGTGAATTGATGTTTCTTCGTGTGTTTTAATTGATTTGACCATCAATCTTTATGTAGTGATATATGTATGTTTTTTTTAATTTTTTTTTTCTCATCTGACGGACATCAATATCATGTCGTCGTCGTCGTCGTCGTAGTCGAAAAAAAAATATTCGTCTTATGTGTATATGTAGAGTGTGAGTTGAAAAAAATAATAACATTCACTGCCACACCCACACCCTTCATCACCATCTTCTGAAATAAAAATCTTCGAATATTTCATCGCAAACAACATGAATTCGATCTACTCTGTTTCATAGTTTTTATTTAAGTAAAAAATTAATACTAAAAAAAATATGTTGACACGAATGAAAGTGATTTTCAAGTTGCTGTACTCGATTCATTTGTTCAATTACTTTTAATTCACATTAATTGTAGTATACTAAACACTGATAAAATTTCTTGTATTTCTGATCGATCACTTATTTTTGAATAGAATTTCTTACGAAATTTCGTATTATGTTGTCACAAAGCAAGTAAACATGACTTGCAACGTATGATAAGAAGAAAAGAAAAAAAATATTTTCAAGAAAAATAAATTATTGTTTGAATTCTTTTTTTTTAGTTTTAGCAGTATTAGACTTAGTTGTATATCATATTATTGTTGATAGTATTCAACATGAAGGTGATTAATGGAATTGTATTTCACGACAAATTGTCCATGGACTTCTTATTCATTTGCAATTACATGTTACTATGGCATCATCTAAGGTTATTTTTCTTTCTTTGATAATCTTAGATTTCACTTTACTTTTTAGGATCAATCACTTTTGGATATTTATTCTACACAATTAACAAATTTTATTGTTGTATCATTATTTGAATTACGATTAATTGATCCATTTATTGTTACATTTCGAGCATTAGCAAACAGAAAAGTTCGTTTTTTTTTATTCATGAAATTTTTCTAAAGTTTAAATTGTTTTTTAGAATATCAATCGTCCTTTCCGTTTAGTTTGGTCCATAATTGGATTTATCTTCTATGATAGTACCATTTATTTGAATTTAAAATTTTTATGGTTTTATAATATCTCTAATTTTATTTTAGCTAAACAATTCTTAATGATTTTCGTGAATTTTAAATTCATGATGAAACTATACATCGTCTTGATACATTTTCATATTTAGTTATTTTAAGTGAATATTTTAAATTATTATTACAATAGATACATATTCTTAATATTCTTGATGATTGTTATTGTTTTTATTTGAAAAATTAATACAAGTACATATGTAAATAATTTTCTTGACCTTATAGATCGTACATTAGCTGGAAATTATTTGTACACTTATATATATTTGTATTACCGGTAATCGAATCAATTGTTTGTCTTCATATTGAAAAGATGGTAGGACTTGAAGAACAATCATTAAATTCACAATTAGTACCTAAATATTTACCATTAATTTTACAAATATTATTAACAACGAAAAACAAATAATATACACCAAATATTGATACACAAATGCTTCAAAATGTAACTTATAGAAGTATATGTAATGAGTATTTTAATCTAACAAAAGAAAAAGTTTACCTTTCTTTGATATTGTTGTGATAAGAAATAAAAACGGCAGAATTCTACATAGTACAAATCGTAAAGAAAAGCATTTCAACTACATCAATACAATAATGAAACTTATCGATAAAATTTTGAATCATGCTATTTGTATTGTTACAGCTAAAAAAATACGATATCTTTTTAATTTTATGAAAAAGAAAATAATCATAAATAGCGTTAAAAACATCTCGTAAGATATTTTCTATTGTGTCATTTATTTAAAACTCAAAATAACGGTTTCAACTTTATGAAACATTCTTCAAAGCAAATATTATCAATTGATGACTAAAGATACAACACAAATATTGATCTCATATTCAGTTTGACATTTTCGATCGGAAGAGATCTTGAAACTAAGTTACTTTCTTGCAATAATGTCTATGACCAAAATACAAATACAAATAACATGTTGAATTTATATATTAATTTTCAACAAAATGATACAAATGATTTATTTCGTATTATTATATTTATGTCGAAAATTATTTATATACATGTATTTCGAAAAAGAATGAGTTCTTAGTTGAAATCGAACTGAAAGGGTTATTTCGAGGTTTGACAAAACAATATATAATCTAAACATCAATTATATATAAATTACTTACGAGGGAAGATCCTCAACTGATCAATCGCTTTTGCATTGAGACAATGTGCAATATGTAGGTACAAAGAAACTATGAATATTTTGAAGAAAGTTCGGACTGATAGCTTGCTTGTACGAAGATATTGCATTTTTACGGTATGTTTTTAAATGAATGCCGTATTCCCTCTCAGGAGCATCAGAAAAAGTGATTTTTGAATTTCGACTTGGAACTTTATGTAGAAACAGAACTTATCGAGAATAGTATTCTATAAATATTTCAGATCTTTCGATTAGTTCCTCTCTTGAAAGACGAGCATCAAATCTTCTGGTTTATCCGAATGAAGTTATCATATCTGTAAGTATGGATAGCAACAGCAAACAAGTCTGAAGGGTGGGTGTGTGAGTATTCTATTTTCTAGCTACACCCACACCCTATTTTTTATGTATTTATGTAATATTAACTAATTTGATTTTGATGAGTTGATTAGTTTTTGTAGAAATATTTCTGATAAATAATTAAAATAGATTCAAATTGATAATCAACCTTTAAGATTTATTTAGTTAAAATCAAATAAAAATTTAATATTGAAATGTTTCCATCGAAATTAATTGAATTTTTATGTCGAGATTGAGTTAAACTATATTCAACTATTTAAGATTTTCTTTTATCAATTACAATTATCCGGAAAAAATCTTATAAATTTTTACAACTGATAAAGTTGTAAACTAGAAACGACACGTCACAGCATTTTAAACAAAAATAAATAAAAAACCAACATTTAGTCAAATGAAAATTATTTAAATAATCAGAAAGATAATCTACCAATGTCAACAAACGTATTGTGAATGTACCGTTCTAGAATGGTTTTTTCTCCAGATTCAGATGAAGAAATTTTTTCTTAAAGTTTTTAAGTGTTTTTTCAAAAACTTGGTTTCTCGGCAACAAATTGAAACAAATTCTATCGACTCGGAACAGAGCTAACTTTCATATTTAATTGCTTTGTTATGCTTATATTGAACAACATGTCCATTAAAATGTTTGTAATAACTGAATAGAAGGAAATTTCAAAAATTTCGTCCGACAAAAAATTGCACACAGCAGCTAGCTTTAGTTTGAAAGCAGTCCAAACTCTGTACTCTTTATAACGATGGAGTTCTTTCAATTTTCTTCGACAGTAGGAAAACAAGCCAGAAATTTGATCTAATTAGGCATATCATGCTGAGATTTTTACCATAAGTCTTTTTCATTAGGACCGATTGTTTCTGATCATTTTGTTGAGAAATTAATGCTGAGAGGATCTTAATATATTATTATAAAACAAGTATAATATATTATCAGAATTCATTGTTATTATTAGTAAAACTTGACAATTATCATTTGAAATATTATTCAAATGTAGTAAATTTCTTATAACTAAAGCGTTTTGTTTATTGTTTATTAAGTCGAAAAAAAGTGAGAACTATTTATTTGGCTAATGATCTAATCTGACATACTAACTGACCGATATGGAAACCAATTAAAAAACCTTCATAGAAACTAATAACAATTTAGAATATATTTCTTACTTATCATATGAATTTATCTTATGTTGAATTTAATGTATCAAATTAATCAAATAATAACTAGTCGTTGGTTTTTGTTTTGA